TTTTTGCTTCTAAGAATGTTTTTCAATCCCCTCATATCTGGATAACTTTCTACAAAGCATTCTTTATTGTTTCTATGTGACTTCAGATTTCTGTCACTCAGTTTGCATCATCTGTCACATTACTACTTAAATTTCTGTACCTGCTTAATTTTTAGATTCCTGATACATAATTCACACTTTGGGCTGTCCTTTTTCTGACAACCATGGGTTCCATCTTGTTACAGTTAACACTTAGTCCTTTCTTCTTGCTTTCCTTGACTACCTTGTATAATAGTTCTTTCATTTTTTTTCTTCTGAATCTGCCATCAGTATAGCATCCTCTGCATTATGTATATTGTTAAGATTATATCCACTGGTAATAAATTCTGTTAGGTCTTCTCCTCCTCTTGTAATCATCTTGTTGCACAGATAAATACAGTGAAATAGCACATCATTGTACTTCTCTTTCTAGTTTTGTGTATTCATTTGACTTGTTCTCTATCTACATGCAATATGTTTCTTTTCAGTACGGACTATGGATTATTTGAATATATTTTCTGTGTAGATCAAGCCTTATTTAAACATAAGAAGAATTTCATGTCATACTACATCAAATATGCTTGTGCAATCTATGAAATATAGGGATAGATTTTTCTATAATTACTTGGTTTGATAGCATTCTGATAAGGAAAAATGCATTTCTGGTTTCAGTGTCTTGAACAAAGTTACTTTGTTCTACTCCCAATCTCATTCTGCTATGAACTCTATTCATGAGTATTATGAGTTTTGTTATGTGACTCATCAAGAGTGTTAGAGTTTGCATTCATTAACACCTGCTTTCTTTATCAGCATTTTGAAGATTTATCAAATAAGATCCTTTAGTATTTCATCACTGTCACAGATTATCTAATTTATCATCTGGTAACCTTATCAGTCCTCAAATCATCTAAGGTTGACAGCATCTCTATTACAATCTCATATGGTGCTGCTGGTTTGTTCTTCTTCATCATCTTGACCACTTGTCTCCTACTATCTTAAGTATTACTGGCTTTCTATGATTTATTTATGTGTTTAACTGTATGTGCAATATATATATATATATATATATATATATATATATAATATGAGAAAATATAGTTTTAAGATATGTTGTATTTATGAGTAAAAGTGCTCAATATTAGGGATATAGCATATTTAAATATAAAAGTGGATACTAAGGCCAACATCGAGTGGTAATAGTCTGTTTCATGCTTGAAAGCAATATTTATGTCTTGAAGATTATTTTCAAGCATGAAACAGACTGTCGCCACTCAGCGCTGTCTTCATGTCCACTTACATATGTTTGTGTGAATGTAGGCATGTTGAACTGATATTTCAGAATAACTTGATTCATTTCAATATTATGAAATTAAAAATAATCTTAGAATATAATGCCAAACAAAATAGATATATTTTTTTTAATTTTGTTATTTGAATTGATTACAAACCAATTTTTAAATATATCTTTTGTTTTTTTGTTTTTTTTTCTTCTTGTTATTATGTTTGGGTATGTGGGTGATGTAATGGATAGTGGCTCCAGTCAAGTTTGTTACTTTCCCTTATGGGCAAATACGTTTGTGATAGGTATGAATTCATTTCTTCATCTCCCTCTAGTTATGAGTTAAATAGTAGGGCAGACTTGGTTGACAACTTTGAATTTTAAACTGCATTAGGCCTGGCAAAGCACATACTATGCAGCTAAGGAGAGGATCATTGATTCTATAATCCTGACTGGTCAGCCTCCTCCTCCATAATGATGTATTATTTATTATTATTAACTCAAAACAAAATTTGCATGATTTTATATGAATAATGAAAAAAGTATATAAAGTGATACTTCTAAAGAGTGTATATATTTTACTCATGGACATACAGACAGATATTTTGAAGTGCTGTCCAAACTGACTTAAAACCCAGTTTCCAACATCTCCTTCAAAGGTTTCTTTTCGGTTACTGTTTGCACAATGTGCCTCAAATGTTTTACTCACAAAGAATAGCAGCAAAACTGGAGTGCATTGCATTCACAGATACAGTTCAAATTTCATCAGTCTCAGAACAAGATATTTTTTATCATGTCTAAAAATAGATTAACAGCATCTAGGTGAGATTCATCCCACAAAAATTTAAATTCAAAATTAAGAGATAAAAAAAAAATGCATTTCAGTTAGTAATTTAGAACCAATCAAACCATTAATTTTCCTCTACCAATTTGTGAGCCTATTTGAGACAATAAATACAGGTGGTAGAAGTATTTTATTCCATAGTTCCATACAATGTAAAACAACCACAATACTCCATACATAGGATTCTTCACTTTAACATGACAAGTCCAATCACAAGAAATTCCTTTCTCAAGAGTAGTCATCTCAATCGTCATTCACTACAAAACAGAACAACTGAATTATAAATCAGACATTTTTTTTACATTATTTTTAAAGAACTCTTAACTTTATTTTATATAATGCACATTCTACAAAATAGACATTTTTATAAAAACCCTCAGTTATGTTCATTTTTCTCTACAAACATTTTATGAACTGCTGGCACATATATAAGCAAAAATGTGGCTAATATTCTGCATTTGTGTGAGTTTTCTGGAACATGAGTAAATTGTTTTGCAAATAAAAGTGGGGCAAGCATAAGGTCATTATACCAGAAATACATGAAATCTCACAGTATTTTAAAGGGCATCATTTATATTGTAAGTTCAGTTGAATACCATTCCTGGTTTCTTTATGGGACCCAAGGTGAAAATAGCCAGTCAAAGCTGCACTTGCCCTATTGCACTTAAAGAGGGAGGGTCAGGATTAATCTTGGTGAACTGAGGTGACCCAAAAAGGGAAGTGCCAAGGGAACTGGACAATTTCTGGCACCACCTATATTTATGTGAGCAGGGCGCCATAATAATTTTGATTCTAAGTCAGACTAAAGTTACTATCATAGGTTGGAAGCATATAAATAAATTATGCTGGTGTGCGCATGTACACACACATGCACATTGTTATTCTCACAGCTAAAAACATTGATCAAAATTGTCAATAATTGTCATACTCATTTGACAACCATCATAACTAATACTACATAACAGTTCAGTCATATTTTCTTTGTTTTTAATATTTTTCTCATTGCTCAGCTTTTGGAAGGCATCTTTCAATATCCCAATGTACCTTTGGATTTCTGTATGAACACAATTTCTGTTAATGTTTGCCGGATATCTAAATTGTTGAACCTATTTGTTTGTTTGTTGGTCTGTTCCATTTGCTAGCAACTATGCATTCAGTCTTCTTAAAATTGCAATTTAGTCCTTTCTTCTCACTTTCCTTCATTACCTTCTGTAGGAATTCTTGTAGTTTCTTTTCCATGTCTGCTATCAACATCTGTATATCTTATTTTAAGATTGTGGCTGCCAATAAAGCTACTTGCTATTGAAAAGTAGTAGCATCTATAGTGTGGTACAGTTGTGGGGCTATGTTTTACAAGAGGTCTGTAAGGAATAAACTAACAAAATAAATTGTGCATGTCTTGGTTCTCTGTTCTCTTTAGGATGTGGACATTGTCCTTCACAGCTTCCCATCTTTTTTACCAAATTTTAAGTTTTGAAAATGAAAATATGATTATCCTGCAGTCAAGTACTAAGTATATTTTGATACATAAAAATTTGTATGTGTGAGATATATATAATGACTCTCATAAGATTAATTTTTAAGGAGAAAATTGTTAGATATAGCTGTAAGTTCTATACTAACAGTTTCTTCTCTTGCACTTCTTGCTTGTGGAACTCTCTTCCAGCTTCTTGCTTTCCAATAAACTTTGATCTTCGAAAGTTTACAGGCAATGTCAATTGTTAATCTTTTGTTTTAATTCCTTTTCTCACTTAATGTTTTCTTCTCATATTCTCTCACACTGAGTAACCACTTGCATCTGGTGACTTTATTGCTTTGCTTGAGGTGAAATGACTTATATATATATATACACCCAAGTATAGGATGGGTGTAGACAGTAGTTGGTATAAAATTCCAATAACCAAAATCACTATTCTTAAAAGAGTGCTCAATACAGAGTAGAGCAAATTGTATTTATTCGAAAATTATAGCATAAACATGTTATAATATCACTACAAAAATATCCATTTTGTTTTAATACTTCTGGTGTCTTGGTAAATGATGGTGTTGATTGTAGAATAAAGAGTTTAACTTTTGGTTATTTTTGTAGTGATGTTATAACATGTTTGTTATAATTTTTTAATAAATACTATATATATATATATATATATATATATATATATATATATTTTTGGCTTCACTGTCATTTAGTAAGCACACACCAAAGTGGCAGTAGAAAGCTTGTCTATTACTGGATAATCAAAGTACCCATGAATTTGTGCAGAAGAAATTTAGGATAGGTATTCCCAATTAATTTTGTCATTGTTGTTTAGAAAATTTAACTCAATTGTTTCATGTAAAAAAAAAAAAAATAGTAAGCTGGTAAATGGTAGTTAAGCCTAATTTTTTAACTAATTACTTTTGTTAGTACTTCTAAATGTTTATTGCCAGTGTACTAAGGTGTGTTTTGTTTCATCAAACATAAATTACTAATTTGACTTTGTTTACCTCCTTATATATTCCTTATACCATTCTTTTATATTTGTACATATACATTGCATAAGTATAATTTACATAAATATATTATGTTCTTATAGATTGTTGTTGCTGTCTGGCTGAATTAATTGAATAAATTCTCACTTTTGGCAATAAATCCATCTGCTTGCAGTAAAAACAAGCTGTAGTCACTAATTTACAATGTTATGTACATCCTCTTTGTTTTGGTCTTTTGATTTCCTTTTTTTTTCTCACTAAAGTTATTCCTTTTGTCTTTTCATCTATTTTCTTCTTTTTATCATTATTTCCTTCACTTATTTTGATTATCAGACTGAATTTAAAAATCATTTCATTATAGTGCACTTACATCTGTCCTTATATTTCATGCTTTGTTTTATTTCTTTACCTTCTTCTCACTTGGGTTTTCAATTTATCTTTCTTTTTCATTTAGATTTTACATTTATTTCCTCTTTTTTATTTACCTTTCTTATTTACCTTTGCTTTTATTTTAATTCTCTTTCCTTACACCCAATTTTCCCTTCCTTGATTTACTTTCTCATTCCTCTTCTTCTCTTCATTATTTTTTCCTTCCTTTTCCTCTTTCTTCTATTTTATCATTTTCATATTAGCATTTCTTTCTTTTTTCTTTTCTTTATATCTTGTGTTTATCATTGTCTTTTCCTTTTCTTCTCCCTTCTTCTTCATCTCCTTCACCACTTACTCCACTTCTCCCCTTTCCATTCTCTCAATTTTTCCTTCCTTAATTTACTTTCTCATTCTGTTCTTTCTCATTCTGTTCTTTTTCATTCTGTTTTCTTTCATTCTGTTCTTTTTCATTCTGTTTTCTTTCATTCTGTTCTTTTTCATTCTGTTTTCTTTCATTCTGTTCTTTTTCATTCTGTTCTTTTTCATTCTGTTCTTTTTCATTCTGTTTTCTTTTTCTTTTTTTCATTCTGTTCTTTTTCATTCTGTTCTTTTTCATTCTGTTCTTTTTCATTCTGTTCTTTTTCATTCTGTTCTTTTTCATTCTGTTCTTTTTCATTCTGTTCTTTTTCATTCTGTTCTTTTTCATTCTGTTCTTTTTCATTCTGTTCTTTTTCATTCTGTTTTCTTTCATTCTGTTTTCTTTCATTCTGTTTTTTTTCATTCTGTTTTTTTTTCATTCTGTTTTTTTCATTCTGTTTTTTTTCATTCTGTTTTCTTTCATTCTGTTTTTTTCATTCTGTTTTTTTCATTCTGTTCTTTTTCATTCTGTTTTCTTTCATTCTGTTTTCTTTCATTCTGTTTTCTTTCATTCTGTTTTCTTTCATTCTGTTTTCTTTCATTCTGTTTTCTTTCATTCTGTTTTCTTTCATTCTGTTCTCTTTCATTCTGTTTTCTTTCATCTTCTGTCATTTTTTTTTTACTATTTTTCTCCTTTCTTTATGTTTATCCTTATGAAGGTGCCACATTATTGGGTAATGGTTAGTAAGACTAGTCTAGTTGACAGTTTCTACAGAGTTGTGAGTTCAATTTTCACTGGGAGTACCACACAAAATTAGATATTTAATAAATCAGCATGTCATAAAATCAAGCAACCTAACCTTATCCTCATCATTTTCTTTCTTTTTCTTCTCCTTTTCTCATCACCTTTTTTTTCCTTTCCACTCTTTCAATTTTTTCTTCTTTGATTTAATTTCTCATTACTTTATTTTTCTTTTCTTCTTCACTTTTCATTTTCTCATTTCCTTTATTTCTTCTGTTAATCTTCATCATTTCCTTCTTTCTTTCCTCTTCACCTCTCTCTTTTCTCCCTCCCACTCTCTTCACTTTCTTTCCTCTTCCCTTTCATCTTTTTCATTATATTTTTACACAGTGGGTTATAGTGCACTTTTGTTCTATCCACACACACACACTGATATGTATATAATTTGATTGCTTGCTTATATATCTTAACCAGATAATATATTTAGTTTCTTCATAGACATAATCATGTTTTTTTGTCTCTAGATAATATGTACTTGATAACAAAATATATTACACTACACCTATCTCACTTACAGAGAATAGTAGGTACATACCTACCAATTATCAATGTGAACCTTTCCTCGTCATACTATACATTTTCTGTAACTCATTCCAGAAATAAGAAGACTGGCAGGTGCATCACTATAAATTATGCTATTAAGGCAAATCATTTTCATTACAATGCACCTATCTTGTGACAATATTCCTGAATGACAAAAGATCACTAAAACATCCCTATCAATCTGGCTATTAGGGTCACCCCTTCTCATAATCATACACATATTTCCATTTTCTTGAACTACAAGGAATAGCTAGCATATCACTGTCAGTTTTACTAGGGGGGTGGGAATAATTGACATATCATATTCCTATATCTTCTTCTATTACTTATTTTTCTGACAGACATTTTGTCCGAAGACAGTTTCACAACAAGTGTACTTAAGCGAATATTTACTTCCTCTGGAGTATTTGATTTCAGTCTCACTCTTTCTCATTATTTGTGATGGAAAGGTGAGGCTTATTAAACAAGCATTAAAAACAGGGTTTTTCTTTTTCTTTTTTTTTTCTTTTTTTTTTTTTCATCAAGTTGCAGGGATGCCAATCAAGATTAAAGAAAAAAAAATTTTGAATATCATGTGACCAACAAATGTCATATATCTTTTACCAACAAGAGCAGAATCCAAACATGTGTCATACTATATAGAATTTTGTTAATCATGTTATCTGCCAATTTTCCCCCCTTTTCTCTTCTCATAATCACCCAAAATAATTTATTTTTGGCCTATATTTAAATTCAGTGAAAATTAGTGATATGTTAAATTTTACCATTCCAGAAGTTATCTGACACTTCTGCAATGTTTAATCTCTAAAAGAGTCAGATTAGACCAAAAAAAAATGAGTATTACTGACATATCTGGGCCAGAGCTGCACAATCATCACTTTCTAGCTTTTATAGAGCCTAAGCTCATTTATGCAGACTTATAAGGGATGACTTATTTTCCATGGTGCAGCCACTTTCCTACAAATGCAATATCACAACCCTATTGCTATTTTCATAGCAAATGTACAGATATTTTTTTAGTTCCACCAGTTCAGACTTTTATAGCTAGAACATTCTGTGCTAAGTCCATGGAATTGAATCATCCTCATTTCATCTGTATTCCAATTGTAAGGAAGAAGTTTCACTCAGGCAACTTTTTTCCAAGAACTAAAACATTGTGGAACAGACTCCTGCAAGGATAATTCTTTGAATGGTACAATCTTAACCTTTTCAGAGAGATTATATATCCTCCTTATCCTTATTTCTTTCAAGGAGAAGGATAACTTGGAATTCAAAACTGGTTGAGAATGGGGTTGGCAATATCCCTTGTTAAACCTACTAGCAGTGGAAAAAACAGTAGCAATACTTAGTGCAGCGAAAGCTGTGGCCCTTGGATGATGAAGCTGTGGCACTATTTTCTTCTGCTGTAATCATTTTCTCATTAGCTTGTAAATTTATTTCCCAACCCCATTTTCAGAAAACTCTTTCTTACCATAATGAGTTAGCTGAAAATAGGGTTTGGAAATAATTAAAAATGGAAATAACAGCTTTTTTACTGCTCTTTTCTGTGCAGGTAAAGTAGTTATGAGGGAGGGATTTACCTATGTGTTTACACAAACACATTGTTTGTTGATCATCATACCATGCCAGTGATGAGACAACTTTTGTCAGAATATTTGGCAATGGGACAGTAGAGCCATGCTTTTTCAAAGTGCTTTTGTACAAAGAATATAAAAAGCTTGACAGAGAAACTTTTCTTGCTACTCTGTACCTCCCTTGCATTGTATATTAATGGTGCAAATATATATGAGGTGTAACAGTATAATTATCCATCCCATAAAATGTTTAATATCTAAAAAATCAATAAACTTGAGTTTATTTTTCCAGGTTTTCAGATAAGACATTTAGCCATCTTGATACCATTTGTTGCAAGAATCACTGAAAAACCCTTTGGGTTATTCAGCTAGAAAGAGAACAGGCTAAAATTGTTTTATATCAGACCTACTGTCTTCTCAACTGAGCAATGGTGAGAGGAAAAAATCATTCAGTAATGGCATCAACATTCATACTCTGGATTCCATCTTCAAAATCCATTCAAGAATCATCAAGAGAATGGTGAATAAGTTTAATAAAATGGAACAGTAGAGAGAAAAACTACATCAGGAGATCACAACAGGGAAAGCGAACATAATTTCAACTTAGAGCTAAAGAGATGAATTAGAAAAGATCCATCTCAATCCATAACATGTTTCAAACATATGAGAGGAGTTTCACCTACAACAGTCCAAAGAGCAATGAATAAAGATATGGAAATGAAATCATACATGAAACATGTGAGGCATCTTGTTACTCCAAGACAGAAAGAAGGTTAGAGAGGGCGAGGATCATCTTGCATAAATTGGAAAATGATCCTGGAATAATATATATATTGAACTTTATGGCAATCCTTCCTATCTTTAGCCATGATTAATTAATGATGAACATGTTATTTTCGTTTATGTTCAATTTCATCATGATTCTTCTGTTAAGCTTGAAGAGTAATTATACATTCTTATTGCTCAAAGTAGAGTCCAATAGTGTTATAAAAATCTTGGAGAATTCCAGTAAAATATCTTTAATCATTTTTCAGATACAACAGTACAAATTTTAATCTAACACTTGAATAATTTTGCTGTTACACCTGGTGTGTGTGTCTGTCATAAATATATATATATATATATATATATATTTATATTTGAGGGATTTTACTTTTTTTACTCATAGACAAGATCCTAGGCAATATATAGGTATTATTTGAGGATGTGTATATTTTTCCAATATTGTAGTCATTTAAACAATGTATAAAAAAAGGTTTCTTGGAGAATTTGGTACTCACAGGACATATTGAAGACAGAGGAAAATGACAAGTAACCTATCTAATGAGCTTGCGAAAATGGATGGCAGGACGGAATTTAGGAGGCACAGTAAGGAGTTCCCATTGCTTTAGAACTGTGCTCACCCACACTCTGAAGGGACATGACACATAAATGAGCAAGAAATGTCAAATTGGGAGAAAACGTTGCTTGAGATTGGTTCATGTACATGATAAATGGGCAAAAATACAAAATTTAAAAAAATACCCAATTGATTTTCTAATTAGAAAAAAACTTGAGAATATAATATATCTCTTGAAATGTGTTTTTTTTATAATAGAGATAGAATTTTGTTTACCATGAGATAAGTCAGTTTCTTTCCTGAGTACCAACCAAAATAATTTTCTTTTGGCTTTTATTTAAAACCAGCAAAATTCAATATTAAATGGAATTAAAATGCAGCAAAATTCTTTACTAAATTAACATCCTGTGTCTTTATTTTTAGTAGATAGTGAAACTATTTTGTTTAATGGATTAAACTGACTACAATGACCATGACAACGGGGTCCCTTTTGAAAATCAGATGTTCATTTTGCTTTCACAATAGACAATGACCATAAAACATGCAGTAACATGTTCTAACCACAGATCCTCATCAGCAACTCTTTTAGATTGCAGTAAAAATATTTATGTCTGTATATCTGGTTTGATGATTGATTCATACTAATATCATCATCTTTGTGATTTTTTTTGTGATAGGAGTGGTCAGCTATTTTATTATATGTCAATAGACATATCTGCTTTCCAGCAACATTAGGAAAAATAAAGCCATACATCTAAATTACGACACAAAAGTTTGGGTTGTTTGACCATGAAAAAAAGAAATTACTTAGTCTAACACTTAATTTCTACAGTCTCTTTTGAAGAAACCTCTTTGGGCTGTTTGAACACTGGCTCATAAAGAGTACTGCTCACAAAGAGTAGCAACAAAAGTATGTACTACAGACAGTTGGGCATATTGATCAGCTTCCCCAGATATTTTGGTAGCACCTCTGGAAAGCATACATACACACATGTATGTATCCAAACATCTTTTTCCTCCTCTCTCATATATATATATATAAATTCAAGCAAGTTTTACTGAATTCTACTAAGGCCTGTTTTTGGAATTTTTTATATTTTTCCAAATTTACAAATAAACTTTTCTTTATTACACTGATATTATAACCATTCCTGATAATGGCCAAAATTTCCAACCTATCATTTTCAGGTGTAAATTCAGTTTTCTTTCCTTTAGACTGGCTGCCATGCAAGGCAAGAGAGTACAGTCTGTCCTGTTATTTGACCTATAACTGGGGGATTAATTATTAAGACAAAAGGAAAACTTAGCCTATGCATTTCAGCTGCTGATGGACAAGGCAAATGTAAGGACTTTACTTTGCAGCAAGTATTTATAAACAAAATTAAAAATATTTGTTTTTTAAGTTTTGAATTCAAGAAATGCTCATAAATATTAATCAGGTTAACTGTAAAGTCTAGGTGAATTATGGGAAATACTAAGTGACATAATTTAATGTCTAATAAACAAAAGTGAATAAATGTTGTTGATGAATTATTTTTATGTGATTCAATATTTAAATTATTTTAGTATCGGATAAATTTATGTAGTATATATTTGAAATAACATGATGTTATGAATTTAAACTGTTTTCTGTTAATTTTTTAAGATTTTTATACTCATGTATTTTGGCTTAGGAAAAAAAACAATTCTTTCAGGAATAGAGATATTTGAAAAAACCTAAGTCTTTTTCATAAGATTGTGATGGAGGCAAAATGGACTTGATTTTCTGTGGCGGACATGAGACAGAACCTGGGACGAGCACAACTGGTCACGACTTGCCTTGTCCCCACCAAAAAAGAGCCCGTATTTGCTTAGCATGTAAAGCTACTGCAGTTGAAATGAGGGAGAGAAAAAAAAGCACTTACCGCTCTGCCATAATCCATCTTCGGCCAGATAACGTAAAAGAATGAGGGGGGACTGGCATTGCATTTTTATGCAATAACGATGCAGTGCATTATGGGACATGGACGCAATGAATTATGGGATCACGTGAAGACGCAAGGGATTATGGGTATATGAACAACTATAAAAGCAACTACTTTTTTCCGAGTCGGGGAGTTCTTCGAGAGACGTTGACGGCAAGAACGGGCAGTTAGTGTGATTTGGAGACAGAACTCAAGAAGGAACGACTCCGGGTTGAAATACCAGTTGGGAGAGCTTGAATTTACTCGCTGGTTACTGTTTTCATAATTCGCCTCATTTTCAGATTCAGCATGAAAATATAGCCAAAAACATGTGCCTATTGCCAAACAACATTTGAGTGTAATTGTTTTGGATATGGTTGTAATTGTTTTGGATATGGTTGTAATTGTTTTGGATATGGTTGTAATTGTTTTGGATATGGTTGTAATTGTTTTGAGGAGTTTAATTACAGTTTCTGAGAGAGAGGGCCCATCATTTTTTGTGATAAGTATTTCAACAAGGCCAGTAATTTCAAACTCTTACTTCTAGATGGGACAATAAACTACATTTGTAGTCCTCTGATTGCAAGACTGAAGATTTTGAAGATCATGGAACCACTTCTTAACTGCTGCTGTTCCCAGGTCCTATCTAACCTGGGGTGGTAGCAACTGTTAGAGCCCCAACTATGGGCAAATAGTGTATCCCTAAACACTATGAAAGTATAAAAGTATAGTTTTATAATGAAAATACAAGCAATACATTATTATATAAAAAAAAAATTGCAAATGATACATATTTATGAGTATAGTAGACTTACCAACAATAAATTTTATCTGTAGTTGAAGCCGTAAAACTGTGTTCAAAATATTTAGATCCCTGTATTAAATAGCCCATAACAGTTGATATGCCACTAAACAAAATCAAATCACCAACATGAAAGAACTCTTTCAGGATATTAATCTAATTTCTTAAAGAAAGCAAACTGTAATCCAAAATATAACTTCAACAAAACTACAACATAAAACACACATATCACTGCCTCTTGTAATTAGTTCCACACAAACAGTTATATCCACAAAAGCTGAATATCATCTACCATGTACTCAATTGTGAGAGCAAAATAACATATATCATATATTTATTACTTCAAAGCTCCCAAGAAAATTAAATTTCAGCATAAAATGACCAATAAGGTATTGATATGCCATTAAACAAACATATCAATCAACTTTCAAACCTTTTAATCATGGTAATTTGTAACTTCATGCAAGCATAACCATTGATGGCTTCTGAACAGTTTCATTTATGCAATTTCCCTTGCATGACTTTGGTCAAACTGTGGTATAGCTTTCCAGCATTTCTCAAAAGTGATATATACTGGAATCTTCTCCTCACATTGATATTATCAATAAGTCTCTTCCTTAACAAATTGACCATGTTGTGAATTGAACCCAGGTCTCATGGTTGGAATACTAATATTCTAAATATTTGGCCATGCACCAAATATTTTATCTATGTCACAACAATCTTTACCCATGTTACAAGACTCCTTAGTTCTATTAAACCCAGTATTTGTCTCTATGTATCCTGATGATGATTTAAGAAAGGTGAAAGCTTAGACTATATTTCTTCCAAAATGAATTTTGTACAATTTCTAATAGAATTCCCTCCTTATCAGAGAAGGACTATTCATAATTTTAAAAAGTCAATCAATAAAATTGACACAAAACATCTGTCTTTAATGACATTTGCCTAAAAAAAAAAAAAAAAAATATATATATATATATATATATATATATATATGGCTTACAGGCATATCATATTGAAACACCAGTTTTCATAAGATCACCAAAGTTAAGCAACATCAAGCCAGGTCAGTTCCTAGATGGGTGACTGCTTGGAAATACCAGGTGCTGTTAGCTTGGGTGTGTGGGTGATGTAATGGATAGCAACTCAAGATTAGAGAGCTGAGTTCCAGTCAGGTTTGTTATATTAACTTATATGCAAATACTCTTGGAAAAGGTACAAATCCGCCAAGTGCAAATACCCTTGGGAAAGGTATAAAACTGTCAGCTATGGGTTAATTAGTAGAATTTGTATCAGTATTCTGATTATCTACCAAAAATTCTTATTATTTAAAAAAAAATATTTTCTAATTTTAAATAACCTGCAAAGGGTTGATAAGCCATAAAAAATAAATCAAACACAAACACACGTAAATATATATATACTTAAACACTAATATTCCATGGTCATAATTTATTCCATTGGAATTGTAAATACGATCCAATTCATCAGACCTACAATTGGATCGTATTTATGATTCCAATGGAATAAATTATGACCATGGAATATTAGTGTTTAAACCTTTTTATTATATCCTTACTCTGTCCTGGACATTGAGTTCTACCTGAATTCTATCCTCTTGGAATTTTTTTTATACAAAATATATGTGTATGTATGTATGCATGCATGCATATATATTTTGCATATGTATGTGTATATTTACCACTAATACTATCTATCTATCTATATCTATATATATATATATATATATATATATACACACACACACACACACACACACACACACACACACACACACACATTCTCGCTATCATGAGCATCTTTGTTGTTTTCATTATTACATTCATCACAGTATTAATAACTCATCGATCACAATGCTGTCTAAATTATAAATTATCCTTTACATGGTTGTGTATATGTCTATCTCTCGTCTCATTTTTGAATGTGTATGCAAATGCAAAATCCTTTTCCCAGCCGTATATTACAGTCTGTTCCCTGAGGTCTACATTTACCAAACACAAGTCACATGGTACTTATTGATTATTTATTATCATTTTTTTTATTCCCTTAATTCTTTGTATTTATTTTTTTATTCTCTTCCTCTGTTATTACCAACAATAACTTGGCTCTGGCTGATGGGCCTCAACCCTTAATAGCCATTATTCTTTCTTAGTTTTCCCTCCAACTGTACCCATAGGAATTTTCTACTAACTTAGGTTGTTTTTCCTCTTACTACTACTTACTGATCAACTACACCCTCTTTATCATTCTTTTTCCTTCATCATTTATTCAAATATCCCTCATTTAATATATGGAGGTATTAGTGTGGCTAACTATGCCCACACACACACAAACACACATACATACATACATACATATATATATATATATATATATATATATATATATATATATATATGTGTGTGTGTGTGTGTGTATGTGGCTGTAGATTAATATATTTATATACTTGTATATAAGTGGATTCATGTATATATTAAACACTGATATAAGATTAAAAGAATGAAACAAGAGAAATAAGTTCACTGCAAAATATATCAATACATATATGAACATATATAGATATCTATTAGGCTCTCATCTGGCATGAGGCTATATTAGTGGGTCAAACTTAATATACTTACTAGCAATGGTTTGTGAGATGAATTTGGTGTGACAGCTGCTATACAGAAAGAATACTGAATGTGTGTAATTATATAACAGAATACATACATACATACACACATATATATATATATATATATATATATATATATATATATATATTAACAGATCTTCTGTTATCTTACTCTGGGATAGTTAATAAAAGTGTCAAACAAAAAATAAATAATAAAAATGAAATCAGATTACATACACAAAATACACACACATATTTATTATAATTTTTACATACAGACAAAAACAACTTGCTCACTACAAAGATGCATTCTTGTTTCAATGTGGCTGCATCTTGACTGGTTTTTGGTTCTCACCAGTCGAGCTACAGCTGCATCGAAACAAGAATGTATCTTCGTAGTGAGCAAGTTGTTTTTGTCCATATGTAAAAATTATAATAATTATTGCTTCTACTCTTGCTATTAAGTCCTCTTTTGAATTTATGCTGTGAACATTAGAATTTATATTATTTTCATTCTCATTACATTCAAATTATATATATATATATATATATAATTTAAAATTACCAGCATCTCTCATCCATGCACATGAGTAGTTGTATCAACATAATCATACTTAGTCCAATGAAGTCATAATTATGATGTCACTCAAAAACTTCTTCCACTTTGTTATACATCTTTCCCCTCTGTGTGTGTGTGTGTGTGTATATATATATATATATATAACATACATTATAGATTATTTTTGACAACTCCAAAGAAGGGGTCAACTATGGGATTTCAGGAAGATTTTTTAAAACAATATTTGTGATTATAGTGCTTGATATTGAGATACAGCATTAATATTGGTTAAAAAAAATTTTACAATATAGTCAACTGAAGAGTAGATGAAAACTCTATGATGATACAAGATAAGTTAACATTTAATTTTATATATAACCTCTATACAAAAATTTTAAATGAAGCTAGTCTTAAACATCTCAAAATATGGAACATAAGGAAATTGTGTATGTATTCCAAAATACATATTCATAATTAAAGAAAATATAGTCCTTTGAAGAGGACCTTAAAATGGGATCAAGAGAAATAAAATGATTTGGAAAATATGTTAAATACACAGTAATAATAATTTACTAGATCTCATCTAATCGTTAGAAAGGAGTGAGTGCACAAGTTTATAATTCTAAAATATATATCAGAACCCAAATCTGTTCAGTTGGCTTGTGCTTAGCCTACACAATAGCCCTTCTCATGTGAACTCTTAAAATTCTCACCATCTCTTGTACAAAGAAACAGACTGACAGAGAGTCATACAGGAACACATAAATACACCCATTCCCGGGGTGGGAAGCAAAAAGGTTGGCAGTAGTCCAGGCTTGGCCCAACACTCACTTTTCAAGCAACAGTTGCATTGATACAAGCAATTGGTGAACGATCGATGTTGTAGTTCATCCTGTAGGAAGGCACTCATTGGCTGAGTAGCTTTCAAATGCAGACCCTCTGCGGAACTGTCCTTAAATAAAACCCCCTACCACCAGTTTCTCACACTCTTCCTTTATCCAATATCCATTTGGTGGTGTTCATCTTATTGTTGTTTTGTTCTGACACCCATCTCTGTAGTTTTCTTTTTCTCCTGGATGTACTAAAACAGGACACTCCAAGCTGGGACACTTTATCCAAGTTTGTGAGTAGACAACCAAAGTTTCTATTTGGTGTTGCTACTGTCACTCAACTTGAGAATGGTAGCGACTAGTGGATTACAATTCATTGACAAAATAGTCGTCTGAAATTTTATTCCTATTCTAAGACCTCTATATTTTCCACTTTTGTTAAAACTTTTTCTAAAAAAAAAAAAAAGTGGACAGCACCAATTGTAAATTTTCCTGTTTTAAATTCAAGCAAACACAACAGAACTTTTATGGCAAAGTTGGTTTCAATTTAAAAAAATAACAAAAAAAATGCAATCAAGCCATGTTTAAAAGAAGGAAGAAATAATTCTTACAACTTTAAATCTGGAATGTATAAATTCAACACTTTTTCAACTTGCACACTTAATAACCTTCTGAGAAAATAACCAAAAATAGAAAGTTTTTGTGGGAAAAAAATTCCTTAAACACTGGATTTATAAGAGAATATCTAATATAGAGGAAACAATTTTCATGAAAGAAAAACTGCTAAATGGATGTCCAGAATAAATAATGACTATTTCTTTATTTTGAATCTCTGCGATTACCATAATAGTTTGAAGAGGGAGAAAAACAAGAAAAGCATTAACCATAAAAAATTTTAATTTGGAAGTTTACAACTTTCATTATAAACATTTAAAAAAAAAATTAATTCACCACCTTAATCTATGCAGTTTAACTGAGGAAGCTGAAAACTTCAAAAAGATATTGAAAACTGCTTTATGAAAAAAAAAATGACACAGTACAATTATTTGCTTAATGCCTACATCTGATTCATTACCTTTTCAGTGTTTATATTATAATCTATAGAAAAAAAAATATATGTATATTATGTTTTTAACAGTAATGCTATGGTACTTTCTCAAACTCCAAACTCACAGAAAAAGATAAATCCAATTTTTTACAAAACTTACATCTTTGACTGGTGGATCAAAATATTTTATTACTGATATTTAAAATCAAAACACCATTCATTATTTGCAGATGGATAAGAACTGCCCTTATAAACGAGATTTCACTTGTAACTGAATTATAATGTTTAAATATATTATAAAACATGGAATGAACATGTCAAAAATATATATAAATATGAAATTTCCAGAAGTATCTGGACTAAAAAAAAAAAATAAGTGAAACTCAATTAAAATCTGTATATTGGACATGGTGAGATCATAATAATTATTTCATTTGATTTTTAAGAAAACTGGAAAAGTTTATTTTAACCTTACAAAGAATTTTGAAGTGAGTGCAGCAAAACCACAGAACAGAAATATTTGAGTGAAATTAATGAAACAACTTCCAAGTATAAATCATCATCCACTTTTGAGTTAAACAATATAAAAAACAAACAAAAAAATGATATGAAAAATGTATTCACTGGAGTAAAAGTAAATAGAAAATTTATAAGAATAATTTAACAAAGTGGAAACCAAAAGAAATATTAAAAAAAAAAAAATATATATATATATGTTACACTGACTCTGATATGACCTTTGATCCAATAAAAAGAAAGGAAGTCAAGGAAATAATTTACCTTCACAAAAATAATCTTGGATGTTTTAGTTATTTTCAATGAAGAAGTAAAAAAAAAAAAAGCTGTTGAGTGGATCAATGTTTCTGTAAACCAGTGGAGTATTCTCACTTATTTACCATTTGTTTGTAACTTTTGAAAAAAAAAATAATCATCAAATTCAACAAAAAAAAGACCAAAAAATTACCAATTTAAATCAAGAAAATTTTGCTGGCTTCTTTTTCTTATTTAAAAAAGAAAGAAAGAAAAAAAGCTTTTATACCAAACCAGGAATATTTTTTTTAAATTCACTGCCTTAATATAGGCTGTCTGTGATAAAGCTGAAAATTTCTATAAAATATTCAAAACTGCAAGACATACATTACTTTATAAAAAAAAAAAATTATCAAATATTAAATTTGTTTTTTATATCTAAAAGATACTGAAATTAATTTATAAACTTAAATAATTAATTAATAACATATTAATTAATTCAGTTATTTTTAAATTTCATGTAATATATAAAGATCTTTAAAAGACTAAGAAACTGGAAGAAATTCATACTAAAAGTTGGTGGGAGAAAGACAAAACTATAAATATGCAAATAGAAAAGGCAGATTAAAATAATTGGTTGACATTTGAAAATATTTCAATGAAGATTTAAACTGAATCTTGCAAAGTGCATGTAGTGTCTTAGCTGTCTGGGGGAAAAATCTAAAGCTTGTGTCATAAGTTCTAAAGCCTTTTGGCACAACGGAAGTTTCATCAAAGTAGCTGTCAAAAAAAAAAAAAATCTATGAGAAATATGGTGAGAGTTGCAATAAGTGTAATAGTGACTATTAATGAAAAGTCAATAGCAAAATTATAAATACCAATCAACTAAAAAAAGTGTTAAAAAAACAAAAACCAAGAAGCTAAATTTTAACTAGATTATTTCTATATTTTTCTAGTGTTTCTCAACCTTTTTTGCTTCAGGGTCCACTTTAAATTTCAATTAAGAAAAATTAGTCATGAAATTGGAAAATAATAAAGAAGTCTTCTAAAATAAACACTTACTTTTAAATCATTACATTACTTGGTATCTCTAGCTTTTTAAAAATAAAGATTTTTTTTAAAATATAAAAATAATTCATAAATTACTCTTCTGTTAACTTCAGACGCACCTAACTACTATTCAGGATGCATTAGTGTGCCCAGGCGCACTGGTTGAGAAACACTGTTCTAAGGAATCAATTTTTTTCTTTACTTTTTTTTTCTTTTGTTAGAAGCAGGGTGTGGCCATTGAAAAAACTGCTTATTAACTATAACTCTTAAAGAATCATTATTACTCACATAATTGCAACAATAAACAATAGTTGACTAAAAAGTAAATGTATTTTTTAAAATTCTATGGTGAAAGATACATCTTTAGAAATTCCTTTTTTATTTATATGATGTAAGGAAGTCCAAGAAAGGTGGTAATTGCTTTTCTTGTACAAAAACAGTTATTGTATGTCAAACAAGATATTTTAACAATGCAAAAAGAGAAATTCTGTCTGAAACAACACTGTTTAAAATCAATTATTATTCATGGCAGAGAGAATGAAAGACAACAATAAAATATAATCAATAACTGTAAAGGGAAGAAACAAATCAAAGTGTAAGACACATGAAGGTAGATTTAAAAGAAACATTATTTCTGCAAAGTCACATTTCCTCTTTCTTGTGAAATATTTTTAATCTATTTTACAAAGAGAAAAAATATTTCATGAATAATATTTATTAGATTAAAATGAGTAATCTTTCACAGAGAGAAATTTCTTAACTGGATTTAAAACCTAAGTGGCAGTTGAAGTATTTTTTTTTTTTTAATTATTTTTTTTTCCTATAAATTCCATTTTACCGATGAACTTTTACTCCTTTTTTTTGTATCAAGAACTCTATTAGTTTTCTTCAGCTGACATAAAAAAATAATAAACGATGGACATTTAACTTTTAACTTACAACAATTTTTTTAATTAAATTCTTTCGTGAAGAGAAACAAAACATTAAAATTAAAATTCTTAAAGAAAACAAGTAAGAAAAGCATTTTATAAATATTTTACAATTAATAAATTTTATTTTTTTATTACATTCATTTATCAATATAAATTTTTCAGAAAAGTATGTTTTCATTATTAATTTATTATGCTATTAACTTAAATTACCACCCAAATATTTAGCAAATCTAATTTGTTTCATAAATAAAATTAGCCAATAATAAAAAATAATTGATGTGGGGCCAAAGTATCAAGTAAAATAGTTAAATTGCCTTAAAGTTATATTATTTCTCAAAAATATAAATTGAAAAAGCATAATTTAATATGTACATCATTTCTGATTGAGTTTCAAAATTTTTAGTTCTCATGAAATTGTTTTAAATCTCTGGAACAATTTCATATTGAAAAGCTATTTGGCTATATTCACACAAAGAGCTACTAGGAAATATATTTAAAAAAAAAGATTTTAATGTTTCTTTATTGACTACAAATCCAAATTATAATTCTTATTCAGAGATATATATATATATATATATATATATATATTATCCATTTTGAGGTTAAAAACACAAGAATTTGAAAAAAATAATCTTTTGCATACACATTTAAATTTTTTAAAAATATCTAAAGAAGCATTTTGCATTCAGTTGCATAAACAATCTCAAAAAAACAAACAAATTGAAACCAAATTCTAAAGTATATATACCAGGATACATTTCATTAAAAAGATACACATCTAAGTAAAATTGAAAAATTATTTAATGCTGTTGTGAAGTGAAAAAAAAAATTTCTTCCAGATCTCTTTTGCATTAAGTACTTTACGATCAACTTTTATAATAGCAGAGTGATTTCAGTGGATAGTTGAGACTTTAAAAGTGAAAGTAGAAACTTGTTTAATCAATATTTCATTTAAATTTAAAGTTCTCTTCCCAGATCATACTCCTCTTTATCTACATCTCCCCTCCTACTTCGTCTTTTATGACTTACATTTTTATCTACTGAATTACTTGTCTAATGACTGTTTGCATATTTCTTTATAAATGTGGATATGATTGAAATTTGAATAAACTCAAAAGCGATATATGATACAAGTATCATCTTTGCTGTGATTTAGATGAGGAAAAGAAAATAGATTAAAAAAAAAAAATCAAGAATAACATTGGCCTGAATGCATCTTTTTTATTTTTATTTTTTTTTCTCTTTTGGGTCAGCTGACCTGGTGCCAAGCTGATAGTTATCAATCATCTCTGCTGTTTCTTCTGCTCGATATCAGCATCTCTCTGAGGACTTAACATTAGCACCTTTGCACATAATCTTTTTTTTTTAAGCTAACGTATAAGACAAGGGCTGATTTCCAGAGAAAATAAAGAGAAAACATTTTTCTCAATATCTAAAACAAATTCTATCGGTGCATAAAAAATAGTAAAAAGTCAATTTTTTATTCTCAAACTATCAGTATAGTTTTCTTTTTCCCCAGTTAGGAAATAGATTATTTTTAAAAATTTATTAATTTTGAAGACTGGATATAACTAAAATGAATTATGAAACTGTTTTACATTGTTATTTCTTGAAATAAATCAAAAGTTAGAAGGAACTTCAGATTAAATCTAAAACCATTTTTCTATTCAACTTTAAACAAAAGTTAAATTTTTATCGAACTCCTAAGATTCAAAAGTATGTAACAGTGTTAACTAGTTATCTTATAAGTATTTTGATTGTTTTCATATTTTGATCAATTCTTGAATCATCTTTGACCAGATGAAATAACTTTTAGAAAATAAACCAAATTCATTTTAACAATTATCAAATCACATTTGCAAATGGGAAATTAAACACATGAAAACTTTGAAAAAAAAATTATTCTGCTTGTCAGTTATTTTAACAAGAAAGATTCTTTGAAAACTTTCCTTTTGAGCAATTATTTTTGATAACTAAGTTCTCTGAATGATGAATGTAAACCCGTGACATATTAGGAATCTATGAAAAATGTAGAAACACCCTTTTTCATTTTTTAAAAAAATGCAAATAAACACCTTTTAGATTATTGTTTTAGTTTTGATAGTATAATTAAACAATGAGTCAAAAACGTAAAATATCTTTATAAATAATCTATGAAACTATTCTATTATCTGATGTTACTAGTTATCCTTTCATAGGCATTTGAAAATCTTGATTTTGTTCTTTAAAAATAACTTGTCTTTTGCAATTAAACCTACATAGATTAAAATAGTATAAACAAATTTGTAAGCTAAATCATTCACAGGAGTCAAATGCTAAACGGTACTTTTTTAATGGGAAGTTTTACTTATTAATTGAGGCTTTCCTATCAAAGGAGTTTACGATATCTATTTTGAAGTATTAATCTACTATTTATTTAATACTTTATTTTATGATTTGTTTACAGTAATTAAAGGGGAAATTTAGTAAAAAATTAAATTAGTTGGGAAATTTTGTATATCTTGAAAGGCTGACAAAAAATTAAGCCATTTAAAAATTATAAAAAGCAAAATTATTTAAAAAAATATCTTGTGACAAAATAAAACAAACTGCTGAATATTTCTTACCTTGTCTTGAAATGTAGTTAACAGATTCAAATTCATACCACAAATTTCAGGGTTCAAAGTACCTGAATATAGATACGACCTTCTAGTGTTTCTTATAAAAATTGATGAAACAAATACTAAAAAAGATTTTTTTAGATATCTGAAATCAAGAGATATACATCCCTTTAATTTTGGGTCCCAAATAATTGCTTTGAATTTATTACTGACAACAGGTAAGACTTCAGCTTTTGAAGAGAATTTTCTGATTTAAATCCATCTTTAATCTTTTTAAATTTTTTTAAAATTTTTTGTCAGTTTTTTTAATTGCTAATTCATTGTTCAGGCAAACAAAACATAAAAGGTTCTATTTAAGAAATGTTCGGACTTTTATAGCTGCAATCACAGAATTGCAAATATATTTCATCAGTTTAACACATTTAGAAAAAAATAAATTGACTCTTCGAAAAAACAAAAATTAACAGTTGTTTCTCACCCAAACATAGCATTTCTTTTATCTTTTTCATTGTTTATTCTACACTATCTCGATCCAGTCTTCCACTCCTATTCTCTACTCTCTCAGCTTTATCTTCCAGTCTCTCTCTCTCATATCTTCCAGTCTCTCTCTCTCATATCTTCCAGTCTCTCTCTCTCATATCTTCCAGTCTCTCTCTCTCATATCTTCCAGTCTCTCTCTCTCATATCTTCCAGTCTCTCTCTCATATCTTCCAGTCTCTCTCTCTCATATCTTCCAGTCTCTCTCTCTCCTTATCTTCCAGTCTCTCTCTCTCATATCTTCCAGTCTCTCTCTCTCATATCTTCCAGTCTCTCTCTCTCATATCTTCCAGTCTCTCTCTCTCATATCTTCCAGTCTCTCTCTCTCATATCTTCCAGTCTCTCTCTCTCATATCTTCCAGTCTCTCTCTCTCATATCTTCCAGTCTCTCTCTCTCTCTCTTCCAGTCTCTCTCTCTCATCTTCCAGTCTCTCTCTCTCATATCTTCCAGTCTCTCTCTCATATCTTCCAGTCTCTCTCTCTCATATCTTCCAGTCTCTCTCTCTCTCCATCTTCCAGTCTCTCTCTCTCATATCTTCCAGTCTCTCTCTCTCATATCTTCCAGTCTCTCTCTCTCTCTCTTCCAGTCTCTCTCTCTCTCTCTCTTTCCAGTCTCTCTCTCTCTCTTCCAGTCTCTCTCTCTCTCTCTCTTCCTTCCAGTCTCTCTCTCTCTCTCATATCTTCCAGTCTCTCTCTCTCTCTCCTTATCTTCCAGTCTCTCTCTCTCTCTCTCTCTCTATCTTCCAGTCTCTCTCTCTCTCTCTCTCATCTTCCAGTCTCTCTCTCTCTCTCTCATATCTTCCAGTCTCTCTCTCTCTCTCATATCTTCCAGTCTCTCTCTCTCTCTCTCATATCTTCCAGTCTCTCTCTCTCTCTCTCTCATATCTTCCAGTCTCTCTCTCTCTCTCTCTCATATCTTCCAGTCTCTCTCTCTCTCTCTCATATCTTCCAGTCTCTCTCTCTCTCTCTCATATCTTCCAGTCTCTCTCTCTCTCTCATATCTTCCAGTCTCTCTCTCTCTCATCATCTTCTTCCTCTCTCTCTCTCTCTCATATCTTTCCTCTCTCTCTCTCTCTCATATCTTCCAGTCTCTCTCTCTCTCTCTCATATCTTCCAGTCTCTCTCTCTCTCATATCTTCCACTCTCTCTCTCTCTCATCTTCTCTCTCTCTCTCATATCTTCCAGTCTCTCTCTCTCTTCTTCTCTCTCTCTCTCTCTCATATCTTCCACTCTCTCTCTCTCTCTCTTCTTCTCTCTCTCTCTCTCTATCTTCCTCTCTCTCTCTCTCTCTCTCCAAATCTCTCTCTCTCTCATATCTTCCCTCTCTCTCTCTCTCTATCTTCCTCTCTCTCTCTCTTTTCTACATTTTGTTCTCTCTTTTCCTCTTCTACTTTACTCCTTTATTTTCTTTCCATCTCTTAGTATCTACTTCTTTCACTCTTTATCTCTTCCATTCTCATTCTTTTCCAATCACTCTTTCTTTTCCACATTTAATCTTTTCCAATCCCATCTTAGACTCTTTCTCTTTTTAACTCATTTTAATCTCATCTGAACTATAAAACATATTGAACAGAAAGGGTTTTAAATTTATTTTATCTTTAACTGATGCATATATCTTTGTTTCATAAGATTTGAGGGATTATTTCTTTTTACTTAATCAATATCATTTTAACTTTGAATACAGAAAATTAAGTGTTCACCAATTCAATATAATAAGTCTGAGTTATTTTTCTTTTTTAGAAATACCCCGAAATAAGATAAAATATATAAGTAGAAGTTAGGAAAAGCAAACCTGTAAATTCTCATGAGTGAAAAATATATCAAGAACTTTCCTCCAAAACATGAATCCTTTCTTCAATAAATAAAAAACCCAAAACAAATTATTGAATCATCATTCACTTTTACCTTGTATCAAAAGATTCAATTAATTTTATTTGAGATTTCAGGTATTACTTTTTTTCTCTCTTTTTAAATATCTGTTTCTCTGGAAACCAGACTTGACAAAATGTAAATGGCTGCCAATAAAACTTAATTCAAAAAATATTAGAGGAAACTGTCTTTAATTTTTTTTTTTTTTTTTTAAATTTTGAAGGTACTAAATTTACTCAGTCAAAATTAACTTGTGCATTAGTGATTTCTTTATAAAGTGTTAAAATAAAAAAAAAATAGATTATCTTAAATTTTTGCATTTGTTGATTTTGATGCATTAAAAATATTTTATAATCTTTTGCTGATTTCTATTTTTTTTTTTTTTTTACTGATAAATCATAAAAAGTATTTTTGTCTTAAATGGCATCAAAACAACTGCTGAGGAAATTTCAATTAATGGTACATATTTGTCAAAATACCATCACTAAATTAGAATTGAATGATTTTTTAGTGCATTTCATAGCATGAGCTTCTGTTGACCATTATTTCAGATTTGTCAAACTGAATTATATTACTCAGTGATTGGAGGGTAACTGATTTTGAAGTAAATTTCAATATTAAAACGTTGGCTGTTGGTAAACAAAGATTGTAACTTCATATTTCACTGACATTTTCAAAATCTTGTTACCAACATAGTTTTCTAATACAGTTCCTTTTTTAAACTAACGTGAGACTTTGCTAGTTCTTTATGGCCTGAACAAGTTACCTTATTGATTATAAAATAAAAATTACTATTTTACGAAAAGAAAAAAAAACAAATCATTCAGATCTTGAGATTAACTCAGTATGAGAACTTTGATGTTTGGCTGTTAATTATAGGAAAAAAAGATATAACTTTGTTCTAATTTACTGAACTGACATTTTAAGTCAGTTTTCTTAAAATCAGTAGATTAACAAATCTTTTTAATTTTTTATTTTCAGCTTTTCAGTTTAATGTCATTTATGAGTTTAGAAAAAAATCATTAACAAAAAGATTTTTTGCACATAAAATACGATTAAATTTTTGCCTCCTAGGACAAAAGAACATTGGTAGATTTTATCTTTAATAATGAAGAACAAATTAAACTTTAGATTTTACACATTAAGAATGAAATTAGAACTGAAGCCATTTCAGAGGATAGATACACAGGAAAAGCTATATTAAAGTGCCCTTGGCATTATTAAATTTTTTAACACTTTATTTCCAGAGAAGAACATGCAATTTCAGATAAGGTCACATATTTTTTTTTTTTTTCAGTATTGAATAAAAGTCAGTTATCTTCATTTTCATATATACATACATTTATACACATACACGCACAAACTAACGTATATATTTATACACATCTAAGCAAATACATATTATACCTACATGCACATAAAGTAATGCATATATATTATATATAAAACACACACACACACATATATATATATATATATATATATATATATATATATATATTAGTGGACACGTTTATATTTACACACACTACTAACTCTGATATTGAGCAATTTTGCTCATAAATATAGCATCTCTTAAAACTATATTTTTATCATATATTACACAAAGTAAAAACAACATGATTGTAAATTTGAAGCAATCTCTTTAGAAACATGCTGAATAAGCACAAAATTAGGTGATTGTGTTATTTTCAATTATATTGATTTTACAAAACTGATAAATATTACTTCAATTTTTTTCTCTTTTCTTATTGATCAATCTTTCTGTATTTTGTTAATATAAGGATAAGTTTCGAAAGGATTTAATATATAATCTAGAAGTTATTTCCAGATTTTTCAATAATAAAATAGAACAAGAAAATGTTTGTTTTAGAACCAATAAATATAAAGTGTTTTTTTCCTTCAATTAAAATATTTTTGTCACCATAATTTTCTTCTGAATTTGATATTAAATCCCAGCTCAAATTTTCTTTGTCCTTTCTACACTTCTTTTTTTAACACATTGTATGGTATAAAAAGCTAAACTTACAATGTACATTTTTTTTTATTAAGAATTTACCATAGATGATTTTTGCCAGGATACAATCAGTTGTTTTTTTGATTTAATATTCAAGATAGCACAATAAAATAGATATTTGTTATTTTCAAAGTAAAAAAGAATGCAAAAAGAAATAGGATTTTTATTACCTTTTTTTTCCAATTAGTGCATTTTTTGTTTAAGTTATCATTAAAAACCCTAGTTCAATATATTGAAGGATGGGTCTTTTGCTCTCTCAAAATTTCACCAGAGAACATTATAAAGACATGTATTTTTTGAACATGTTTCTGTAACTTTTCCAATTGCAATTCCTACAAAACAATTTTTTTTCCTTTTAATTTTCCTATATAAATTGTTAGTCAAATATGTATGTTCAAATTCTATCCTTATTTATATTCTGCACAGCATTTTTTACTGACTGAAATATACATGTATATATATGCACACACACATATATCTATATCTATCTATATATATATATATATATATATATATATATATATATATATATATACATACATAAAAAGTAATATAGACACATAGATATATAAACTAATATATATATATATATAAACTAATGCATACACATGTAAAGTAATATATACATGTGTAAGTTTATATATGTATATATAGAGAGAGATAAACTAATACACAGACACACATGTAAACTTATATAAAAACTGAAAATACAAAAATTATAAATTTGATGCAGTCTTTTTAAAAATATTTTAAATAAGTGCAGAATTTGGTGATTACATTATTTTCCATTTAAATTGCATTTTAGCTTTCTAAATAAAAAGAAGCAATACATTTATGAAGATAATGCAGAAGATTTTCCAAATGGGGAAGTAAGTAGATGCAATTAAAATAAATTATTTAACATTTCCTGCAGTTATTCAAAAGTTTCCTTGTAAATAAACCAGACTAAACATTGACAAAAGAGAATAAATGTTACTTGTAAAATAAGGAAAAAAATGATTACACATAATGACTTGAAACAAAAGCATATATACTAAAAAATAATAATGAATAAGTAATATTGTAACTTTTGAAGTAAACATTGTAAAAATAAGATTAACAACATAACTCATCACTTTCCTTAAATATATATATTTATATATATTATAAATCATAGGAAGCTGGATATAGAATAATTACTTTGTAAGAATAAGAATAGCAAATTCTAATGATAATGCAAAATAATAATGTATTCGAAGTATTAGTAAAAATGGTTTCTGTACCAACAGGAAAACAGTAATAAAATATCCAATAAAGAATTAAAAGAAATTATTTTGCCTCTTTTTCTCTTTTGAAAGAAAAGATTTTCAAATAAAATCAAAGTCTTTGTGCCTGTGCTTTGCCAGGAGCAAACACAACACAAACCTGTAGAGTATAATTGAAATACTTCAGAATCTAAGAATTCTTCCTTATTTCTTCTGGTATTGTCTTTTGAAAAATGAATTGCCATAGAATTGTATGAGAAATTTAACTAAAATTGTCTCTCTATTAATTTACTTTTTCCTTGTGAAAAAATTGCCTTTTTGTTTAATTTGGGCATTATTGTTACCTTGTCTCCTCAAAAGCCATTTACACTAATGATTTTCTTCATGTATTCACTTGTTTTACTTACCCATATATGGATATAGGCACATTTTACATAGTCTGTACAAAGGAACAATATTAAAAGTATACAGTTTTTGTTAAGATTTACTCACATAAAGAAAAAAGTAAAAATCACATAAACCCAGAAGAAATATACTCGGACACAAACCAACACTTACTTATAAAATCACTATTCAACAATTCTCACTAACATATTTTCTGCTACAATTTACGAATTTACCTGTGATTCAATGAATAAAAACTATAAAAAATACATAGTTAAAACCACTTAACAGATTTCATACAAGTACACACAATTTTATATAGAAAACCTAATAGATTCATACAGAGGTAGAAATATAAGTATTCATTATAAAGACATTTATATACATGCAAAATACATAAATATGTATAAAAAGTAAACGGTTAGATATTGAAGCTTATATGTGCATTATTTATACATCCATGTATATCATAATTTTTTTCCTAATGTACAAGGCCAAAGAGCAACTCAAGTTAAAGTATTACTGAATGATATTGCATGAGCATAAGAGGAGGAAAGTAGTTCAGTTTATGAAGTTATGTAAGTAAGATAACAGTTAACCCTAGACTTGAAGCGGATAAAATTGTACTGATTGGAGAGACATGTTCCACAAAGTAGCATTTCTTGGAAAGAAGCTGTCCTGTAGACCACCTTCAGAAAATGCAAATAAACACTCATATGTAGTACAAAAATTAAAAATATAACAATTGAAAACAATAACCTCCATTCATATATATATATATATATATATATATATTTATGTGATTATATATTCACAGGTTTTTATCACTGATGTTCTTTTTTTTTCTTTGCTTAG